TGCAACATTATAAAGTTATTTGAGATTATTGTATAACACGTAAAATTCAAATTCTGAATCTGCGTCTGATCTAGTGCAACAACCGGGTTTCGTCGTTATAGAAATGCCAAAGGGGAAAAATTTGTGGCCGGAAAAACTTTTTCATAGTATTTGCATTTCTCCAACCTTGTCCAGATTTTGACGAAATTGGAGTCCTTGAGGTGTGGGGAAATCTGGTAACAATCGGGTGAGTTATTTTTTATTCTGATTGCATGAGTAGTTAGGTAACTTGTTAAGGAAATCGTACGACTTTACGAAATTAAATTCGGGCGAGTAGAACTCCCGAAATCGATCTTAGCGTGAAAAGTATTTTCTTATCGTCGTGGGTTAGAGGTGTGTAGTGAAATGGGATTTTGGAATTTCTTCGGTTGACTCTCTGGTTCCGTTTGTGCTGCTTTGGCAGGAGTCTGGCTGCTCTGGAGGAGCCGCTACAACGGGATATGGGCTGCTCTAGTGGGTACGACGAGACTTAAAATCGTAGAAAAAAATGGATAGCTCACTGGTTCGAAAATGTCGCTTGGCGCCGCCACTACAGCGGGATGAGGGTCATTGTGGCAGGTCAGACACGACTTAATGTCGTTAGTAAACCCCTAAACGACCTTATTTGGCACTTTTCGACCTTTAGAGCTAAGGAACGACCCCAGACGATTTCTACTCATTTTTCACCATTCTTGAGGCTAAAGGTAAGCTTTTCACTCCTCGAATTCGTTTCTCAATCCGTAGAACGTAATAGAATGTGTGAATATTGATAGGGGAAGATTTTGTTATAGATTTTATGGTGGAAAAAACCCTAGTTTGGATGTTTGGGATCATGGGTTTGATCTAGAGTTCATAAAATTTTATAGTTTCGGGTAATTAGCGATTGTTTGTTGATTCCCGTGTTATTGTGATTATTTGTAGACCAAGAACAAGTGAAACGAATTCGAAAAGGGAAAGATCAAGTTTCTTAGGGTTTCAAGCTTGTTTTGAGATAAGTGATGGTTGTGATTATATGATTGTGTGATGTATGCTTGTTCTTGCTCCATTATTATACTTGTATATGTATGAATGTTGCAATGTTGATCACACTTATTGTAAATGAGATAGATAAATACCATTGCCATGAAATCATGATTTAAATGTATGATCTTGATAATGTACTTGTGTTTGTGATTGTGGTGTGTGAATTGGATCGGATTGCCACATTCCGACATAACTAACTTGGATCGAATTGCCACGTTCCGGCATAATTATAGGATCGATTACCACGTTTCGGCATGCTAACTGTTTGAGTTTGAGTTTCGTAAGAGGACCAATGATATGCTATAAAATGTGAAGTTGTTGGTTGTTCATAAATGTTGATGATGTTGGTATATATGCATGTGATTGTAATGTTGTTTGACTTGTTTATGTTGCACTAGTGGAATAGCCACGTGATCCTACCAGTACACTGTGGTTGTATACTGATTATGCACTTGCTCTTATTTTTATTGAGTACAGGGCATCTTCACGCGTCTACTGACAGACCTCGCTTAGAAGATCAATGATCGCCGCTTTGAATTTTAAGGGTGAGCCAATTCTTTCAGGCTGCCATGAGATTCTCTTTCGTCTATGTCCATCATTTTCGGACTTAGATATTTGTTCTAGTTTGTTAATTAGTTCATTAGTTTGGGGATGTATCCCTTCTTGTTTAGACTTGGATCATTTGTTTAGATGTTTTGGTACATTGACTTTCAGGTTCTAGGTATTAAATTTCCGCATTTGTTAGTTAATAACTTGCTTCCGTAACTTAATTGTTTTAGTTGCTTAGTTTGGTTGTAGTAGTGGTTCTCCCACCGGATAGTTAGTGTGAGTGTCAATCACGACGATCTGGGTCGTGACATCTAGTCTAACTCCATGTTCAATGTATGTTCTCATAAAGCTAAATATAAAGAAATGGACCACTTTGGGGACAAGAGAAGTAGAATTGAGAAAAGCTTAGTGTACCTAGATGGCCCATAATTAAGGCCCAAAATTTCATGCAGGGCTCCATCAATAAAATTTCATCAAGTGGATAATATGGAAAATAAGCAATTATTTGTGAGAGAGTGACAGAGATATTTTAAGTTTATTATTGCTTGAATCTTATCCAAAGGCGGTCCTCCATTTGTAATGATTTTAACTTGGGATGAGGGCAAACTTTTGTACCGCAAGTTTCTGAAACACCAGAAAAAAAGGGGAACTACATATACAGTAGTGTCGTCCATCAAAATAATAGCTGAAAGGAAAAAGAGCATGGGGAACAAAAGGGGAAAATTATACTGTATAGCCGTCCATCAAAATAATAGCTGAAAAACAAATGAATGAAGAAACAAAAGGGAGAAACTACACTTCACTTTTATTCGCCCGCCAAAATAATTGCTAGCAAATATATATCTTTCTTCCTACCTTAGGCTTAAAAATAACAAACAAATTGGGGAAGTAAAAGGGCACAACTACATTGCATAGTCATCCACCAAAATAAGACCAGCAAATGTATGTTATTTTATGGGAAAAATTACAGAAATCCCACCTTTTAGTTTACTTATTACCATTATCCCCTATAAGTTTTACAAATTTTCAAAATCCCTCATTTTCGTGCATCAAATTAATGTATCAGCGCTTATATTATTGTATCTCGTGCATCAGATTAGTGTATCATGTATAAAATGTACTTCAGATTAGTGTATCATGTATAAAATGTAATGTATCTTACTTAACGATTAATGTATCTCGCGCATCAGATTAATGTATCAACGCTTATATTATTGTATCCGTTGGAGGGATTTCTGTAATTATAAACTTTTAAGGGATAGATTGTAATTTTGCCTTAAAAGTATGTGATTTCTGTAATTTGCCCTATTTTATGTATACATAAAATATATTTTTTTTTATCTAACAAATATAATTATTTTGATCGATTGGACGGATATGTATTTCCCAAATAAAATGGGTCATTTATTGGGCCGGAAAAGAAAGGGTTGGTGGGTCTGTTGATATGGAACAAAACAAAAAAGGCCGAAAAAGTATTTATAGTTAAATTGGGCCTAGATTTGCTGATTGTTGGGCTGGTAAGGATGTGGGCTACTTTTGAAAATTCAATGGGCTTGGATATGCAGGTCGCCCTCATACTTGTCTTTTCCAACATTGCCAAACAGACACAACTCACAAAGTCATAAATCAACTGCGTAGACTCTATAATGTTGAGTCAACTACAAAATGGAGAATGATTGCGACCTCCAACTTTCATAAAAAATCTCGAGATCGAGCTCTGATAATATAAAGAAAAAAAATTCCTTAGAGCGTTTACTCCATAATAAAAATCAAAGTAATCGGATGATGAATTTTCATTAGTGAAAGAAATGAAATTTTAATAAATTTGGATAGCAAATTCCACTAGAGACCTAATCAAGGTCAAGAATTTTGGCGTCACCCATACGTTTGGAAGATTATAGCATGTCCTACTTTGTGACTTATTACGTCCAAAAGTTGATGAAATTAAAATAATTATGGACTTTTGTCATAGTTTTTGTGCTCATGGAATCTGGCATTTATTTATAATTTAATGATTTTATTTTATTCTATTTTAAAGCTCACGTCAAAACATTACTTAAGGAAATTATCAATTTCATTCAAAAGCTAAAGGATATATTGTTAGCTCACGTTACTTAAGAAGGGGCAGTGGAATTTATCCTCAATAAACACCAATGGTTTTTACTTATCGTTAATTATTACACTTAAGGAAAAAAAAAATTGGCCAGAATTTGGCCTAATATACATACAATATCTATTAACCATCATTAATTGCAATAGATATTTACGTAGCACATGTAAATTAATATTTTCCCCATCATAGTTAATGATTAATTAAATCTTAATAAATGTTAATAATATCGAGGGCGAGACATATATAATTACACGTTTATTGAGTGGTTGTATAATGTATGAACATTCAAAATAATTATGGTTCTTTGAATTTGTTTAATTTGTCTACCTAATAGCCAGACGAACATCATCACGCACGTGCGCTACTTGTTTAAAGTGAATGGCCAGAGAGAAAGAGAAAACAATACTATGTTTTAGGACCTAATCATCAAATTAACTTTATGCATTATCAATGCGGTGTAGCAGATGAAACTGCTCCTCCATTAATTAGATGTTTTGAGTTGGAATTCTACGTATGAATTATTATTTTTTGACATGAAGTGCTTTCCTCTGACTGAGGTCCTATACGATACGAATCTGAATTAGTTAGACTTCAATGCGGATAATCGAACCGTATGAAAGAAAAATAATAATTAACTTTATACAAATGGACAAATAATAAATGGTGGAATCCACCGTTACTTTAACTACTCCTTTCCCTGATTTATCTTTTTATTTTATCTGTTCTAAGTAGTATAACTATTTTCTTAATTCCCTTGTTAATATTTTAAATTATCTTATTAAAAATATACTTAAACTTTGCTTTATTGGTCTAAGAAAAATTTAAATGTCTAAGGGGAATAATTAACTTTTTTTTCTTTTTTACCCTCCCTAGAAGCTCCCCCTTTGCTCCATTGCTGACTTGAACTCGCAACCTTCGGGTTGGAAGTGAGGGGTGCTTACCATCCGAGCAACTCCCTCTCGTCGTTAATTAACTTTGTGTTCACTTTACCTTCTTTTTAAAAAAATTATTAAACCTCAACTTTCTTTTAGTTCAAACCACATGAGACACCTAAAACTGGAACTTTGTCCTACAAAAAGATTATAAAATATGCTAATTAAGGTGGAGTAATAATTAATGTAAATAATTAATTAATATGAAATTTGTCCCACCAAAATAAATATAACTAATTGATATGGACCGAATATAATGCGGCTGTTATTTACATTTGAGTTTTCACATCACATGTTGAGTTAAATTAAGTAAGTGATTGGTCATGTCACATGTGATTTAAAGCTAAAATTTGAAGTTTTAATTTGTCTCTTTGGAGACATTTGATAAAAATAGAATGATACAGAAAAAATAAGGTATGATCCTCACGCAAGGATGAAACACATAAATAATTTGAAATTAGTGTTTGTATATGAAATTTGAACAAAACTTCAGTTTTAAATTTAAATCTCAGCTTCTCTAAAAAGTAAAATTTCAATTCCAAGTTTGTAATTATTATTTTTTTAAATGTAAACTTGACGCATAAGTTTATATTTTGGAATCTATAATTTTAAATTTTACGAAAGAAAGAAAATTGATGCTCAATGTGGAGAAATTGTATGTAACCATGTGAGAGAGTTATATTACAGAATAATTAGTTACTACTATTGTTAACTTACTGAAATAATATTTTTTTCTCATAAGTATGCCTATTTAAAAGTTTGTAATAACATATAACTATAAATATTTATTTATAAATAAAAATACGGAGATGTGTGATTTATTAATACGATTCCTTGAGATGTTATCTTGTTTATGAACCATGATATATGTTCATATTGTAAAATTGTGAAAATTAGAAAAGTTTTAATAATTCTCATAAATTATGAAATTTTAATGTTTATGAGATTTTTTTTAACTTTTGAGATTCAAATTATATGTCAAAAAAAATAAATAAATCAATATCAAATCATGATTTAAAATCAGGACCAAACTAACATTTAGGGCTTACCAGATAAATTTATTTGTCTTATCATTCATTTTTAACGGGTTATTAACTTAAGTTATTTTAATATGCTCAATTCAATTTAATACGTTCGTTTGACACACCTAATTTAATCGCATTATAAGAAAAATATTTACACTATTATGGAGCCTTCAAAATTGTCCAATTTGCAAGTCTCCAATTTTGACTATTATAATAACTTTAAAAACATGTTGATTTAGCAAAGTTGTTAATGTGTTGAAACACAAGGGGTCTTTGGAAAATGGCTTCTCATCAAGCTTTATTGAATAGTCACATTTTATGTATTAATGTAAATACCCTTTTCTACAACATAATTATTTTAGCACTCTACTTTATGAAGCATTTGTTCTTCAAAGTCTTTACAAAATAAAAACCATAGAGAAACACACATGCCTAACTTCCCCTCCTTTTATAAAGGAAAGTATAAAATGATTTGTCCCCTAATTTTGGCTTTGCTTACTTTTAATACAAATCTAAATAAGATCTATTAAAAAAAAAATCTAAAAATAACAACAAGATGTAGATATGGAATGTGACTAGGAATAATCGGTAGGGTAATTTTGATGCAATAAGTTAAGCAACTAATTCCGATCCATTTCGTCAATAATAATAACAGAAAAAATGGATAAGAACAAAAAATACTCCTATCAACTTATAAAAGCTCTTAACATTATCTTCTATCTCAAATATCCATTAACTTTTAAAAAAATATATTCAAATATGCTCCTCGCATTTTGGACATGTCGTCATAAAATTAGTCATACATAATTAGTAGCGAATACAATTATTTAAAGTAATTAGATAAATTTCTGAACTTAAAACATGTCCAAATATACTTCTAAGTTCTAACAATAAAAAAAAGTTTGAATATGCTCCTCGCATCAACGATACTAAAAGTCATGTATGAATAACTTTTTTAAAGAAATGTCTTCAAATTAAAAACATTATTTATCATAAAACGGAAGATGTAATAAAATAAAATAAAAAGAGGCACTAGTGTTGATATGGAATATGAGTTGGAAAAAATAAGTAGGGTAATTTTTCCACAAATGAAAACAAAGACATTAAAAATTAGTTTGAAATAAGGGGAAAGTGTGAGTCACACGAACAAAGCTGCTTTCCAAATACTATTCATCCACTATTGTTTTGGCCCTACACATTGGGCGTGCGTCTTTGACCCAACATCCCCTTTTAGCCTATCAGCCACAACAATATAGTAAAAAAAATATATCAATAATTTATTTCCTAATTAATAATTTTTTCCACAAATCTTTTTCTAACTTCAACCTCAACAACAGCAATAATAATAACACATCAATATAATTTTGTAAGTGAAATATGAAGAGAGTAGAGCATACGAAGAATCACAGATCTTATTCCTACCTTAAAAGGTAAAATAATTATGTTTGATAGACCAACAACTCAAAAAATCTAACTTTAACCTCAATAAACTTGTTATTTTAAATTTCAGCTTCAAATTTTGTGCAAAAATGTTCTGAAGAACTCTTTATATCCAAATATAAGTAAATAAACATAGAAAATAAAATTCATAAAGGGGATTTTTTATTTTTTTTGACGTAGGTGAATTTGGAAAAGAAACTAACTTATTGAGTTTGTAGTTAGTTGTCAGTTTAGTACTTTAATCAATCCATTTTACTTGTCATTTTTTTTAATATCTTCAAAATATAATATTAAATAAAAGAATATTTTGACTATTTACTTTTGATAACAATTTAATATTATTATTTCTTTACCACATTAATTTCTCTTAATATTTATTAAATACAAATAAGTATAAAAACTATAATACTTGATTATATCTGGATTTTTTTAAAATAATAATTATTTTGAATCAATATTATTTTTAATAAGTCTAACACTAAATGAATCCAAGGTAGTAGCAATAGTATTTGTAAGCCTCATGTAATAAGCAAATCATCATCAGCTTGTAAAGTTGATTTTAAGATGTACACGTTTGCTCTAATCAAGTAAAACACAAATTATACCTAAATCTGTTTGATTGGATTTATACTAAAAAAAATAAAAATAAAAAATTCGACACATAGGTAGGTTAATATATATGACAATTGACAAGTAACAAAGATTGACTTTATTTCTATTACTGCAACAATAACAATAGTAACAATATATTTAATATAACTTTTACAAAGAGGACATGAAAAATGAGACATGAAGAAGGTTGGATGTATATAAGCTTTATCTTTATAGAATATATATATTGTTTATATATGATAGATCCCGGTAAAAAGAAATTTCTGAAATAAGATTAGCTGAAAGTTGTCAAATCGGTTGAAAGAATTGAAAGGAATGCTAGAAAATGAGTTTCAAAGCTTTAACTTCCACATTCAATAGTCAGAAGAAGCGCGGATGGCACCAGTCCTGATTGGTTGTTTTGAAGTGAAGGGTTTTTTCCTACTAATATGTACAAATATGTGGCCTTAGTATTGTATTAGAAAAAGAATTAGCAGAGGTACGTGCGAAGTCTTCAATGAATACCGGAGAGTAAAAATATTATGACAACATAATATCAAGATACACGTTGAAGAATAAGAGACTATACAAATACTATTGTGCATCTCCTCTTCACTTTGAATTTTTACAACCCCTTAACTACTTGGCTAAACCTTCCATTTGTGCCAACATGAATCAATACTTGTATATATATTTATTAAGTCAAAATTTGACTTCTATATACAATGTAATTTTTCGACAAATGGATGTCAAGCGACACCTCTTAGTAAAGGGTGACTCTGTCCCGGTTGACAACACGTTCTTATTTTACATAGCCCAAAAGCGAACCTCCTTCTCACCCACCGACTCCAATACGATGTTCAATATATTCACAAATCTCCCTCATTTTCTTGAATTATTGATAAAAAAAAATACATGGGAAGATAATTTCTCTATTCAACCTCCCGACTTCAATTACAAACTCTTAGGGGTCGTTTGGTAGAAAAATAAATAATGCAGGGATTAGTAGTGCAGAGATTAGTAATGCAAGATGTATTTTTTTATCAAATGTTTGGTTCATTGCTTCTGACCTCATCTTGTGTTTGAATTAAAACTCTACAAAAAGCTTCTTCCAATTATACCCTTACATTATTATGAGATTTTCTATTTTATGTAATAGGTCAAGATAGATAATTGCCGGACAATATTATATTTTTATGGCCTTCTAACTAGCTAGGAGAAGAACAATTTTGTTGTCATGTTTGCTATTTTCTCACTCGAATTGTTTGAGTGTAAACCATTACAATTAGAAACCACATATAAACCAACAAATAATATATTCAATTAAGATCACAAACGTCATGTGGTGATATATTTGCATTTTCAATTAGAAAATGTTAAACAACTCACATTTTAAATATTGTGTTGATATGTATTGCATTTATTTATTAACAAACAACTCTCTCTAAATAATAAAATTTGTAAGCTAATTTATTTAAATAAATTTACTAGTACAAATATAAAACATAAAATCAAGAAATAAATAAAATGATTTGAGGGATATTTTTGTCTTTACATAAACAATCCATGGTATTAAATCCAATGTATTACTAATACCACCACATAGAAGGTAATAGTAATACCTCCTATAATACCATGTAGGGTGTATAACTAATCCATGGATTAGTTATACTTAAGCCCAAAGATTCTACCAAACATAGTACTAAATAATACCATACATAATACATGGACTATTTCTCCTAATACCTCCTACCAAACGACCCCTTACTTCTCGGTCTAACTTGGACTAATCCCTTAGCAGGCAAGAAATTCCTACTAACCAGAAAGTAAGTTTCCACTCACTACCAAAGTGCTGTCGCACCTCTACTATTTTCGGCATAACAAAGTTTTAGTCTTTACAAGGGCACGATCGACTTTCGAATCTCCCTCAATTTTTTTAATTATTAACCCAAATTTTTTGAAGAATTGACTTTGCTACAATAATTAAATGACTAGGGGTGAGAGTTGTACATTTTTTTCTCTCTCCCTATACAAATAAGAAATAAGAAAATAACTTTCTATTGAGTCTAAAGTTCAAGCAATTTTAAATAGTTTTCAAATAGAAAAACATGTCAATAGTTTTGAAATATCCGAGTGGGTCAAAATTTACCAACTGAAATAAAGAAATGCATAAAAATGTTAACCGAAACAGCACTAATTAAGTACACCATTTTATTTCCTAAATAGAATAGACAACTGTGAAAGCACAACCTTTGACCAAACATCTCTCTCTGCCTCTGCAACGACGACTACTACTACTACTACTACCATTCTTCACCTTAAACCGTGGAATTTTACTATGTACTACTCTTTATTCCATAAGTTTCAACTTTGACAAAATCCATAACTACAGTTTCAATCTCTGTGATTTAT